TGCTGATTTTGCTGGTTATCAAGTTGACAGGAAGAGTACCTCTGGAATGGCTCATTTCCTTGGATCATCACTTATTTCCTGGGTACCAAGAAGCAGAACTCTGTGGCTCTTTCAAGTGCTGAAGCTGAATATGTAGCTGTTGCAGCTTGTTGCTCTCAGTTGCTGTGGACCAGGAAACACTTGGAAGATTTCGGAATTCACATCAAGGCAATTCCTCTTATGTGTGACAATACTAATGTTGTTAGTATGGGAAAGAATCCAGTCCACCATAAGAGAACAAAGCATATTGATGTTAGACATCATTTTTTGAGAGATAATGTTGAAAAGGGAAATATTTTGCTCACATATTGTCCAACGGAGGAGCAAATTGCAGACATCTTCACCAAGGCTCTCAGCAAGGATCAATTTGAGAGGAATCGGTTGAAGTTGGGAATGTTGATCTCCAAGTGATGTTGTTAGCTTCCAACAGTTGAACTTGCTTGATGGCTAAAATTGCAGTGCAGATATCCTTTTTGTGAATTTTAAATATCTGAACAAAGATCCCTTTTTGTACCTTCTGTAGGTATACACTCAGTAAGGACCTGCTTAGCAAGGGAAGCAACTAGAACAACTGAGGAATGAAGCTTAACTGTGCTATGGTACCTGGTGCCTATCCAGGTTAGCATTTATACATTAAATTGAAACTGAAAAAATACGACCGTTGATAATGCCACGTGTCAGCCATCGATTACTCTGACCGATCATTCCCATTGTTTCTCTCTCAAACGACGCATCCAATCACGGACCTGGCACCTTTTATTTTTTTAAAAAAACCCTATTCTTTTTGAAACTCTCATCTGTTTCTTAACTTCTTCTTCCTGTTCACGAAGGGTTTTAGCAAAATTTCAAAAGGCAAATTTTGTATTCTTCTTCCTCTATTCACCGTTCAAAGAAACTATTCTCTAGTGTGAAAACAATGTCTTCTCCCTCATCTTCTTCCAAACAGATGTTGAATGCTCTCAGTGAAATAGAGCCTCTTGCCTTCTATTCTCTGACCACTACACAAGCCAGACTTCCTCCCCCTACCAGTTCTCAACAAGAAACCCCTGATAACCCCTTTTTCGCCATAGATCTAAACAGTTCTGTCGTGCCTACCGGACCTGGTCCGTTTCAAGACATGTTGCCTGACAATATGTTTGAAAGGGATCTACCCAAGCATAAGGCTTCTGAGTCTAACATACTGGCAGTGAGTGAAGAGCTGGTGACGAAAGTTTGGCCATAATGCGGAAATAGGCAAGGGCAGAGCATACTGAAGTCTTGGAAAGGGAAGAGGTAAGACCCACTTAACCCATCTTTGATAAGACCCCTGATATAGGAAAATACTCTTCTTCATCTTCCTCTGACTCTGCAAACGAGGAGGAACCTTTAAAATGGAAGGTTGAGAGAAGAGAAGGGGAGAAATCTAGAAAAGGGAAAGAGAAGGTTGTAGAGGAGGCCCCTAGGAGACGAACTACTACTAGGTCTGCTGCTCAAAAGTTGATGGCTGATGCTTGGAAGGCGAGTGCACGTTCTACTGCTGCAGTTAGAAGTGCAAGAACCTTCAAGGTATCAAATTTTAAAATACCTAAGGCCACTGAGGTTGAGTTGTCTGGAGAAGAAGTGGAAAAGAAAAATAAGAAAAAGAGGTCAGAGAAGAAAAAGGGAAAGGTTGCAGAGAAGATTAAAAACACAAAGTCAAAAGGGAAGAGATCTGAGAAAAAGAGAAAGCGGTCAAAGGGACCTGGTTCCCAAGCCAGGAAAGTTGAGAGTATCAACATGCAGGAGGTGGTTGACAGTCTGAGAAATCAAGCAGTTTTGGCAGGAAGAGTTTTTGATATGGGAATCATAACTCTTCCTAGAATGGATTCTCTGCACGATATGGTAGAGATTCAGTCTTGGCTGCACTTGTTCGACAAAAAATCCCCCATCCTCCATGAAGAAGAAGTCCGTGAAATTTACTACAATGTTCAATTCAAGGAAGATGGGAGTATCCTCACACAGGTAAATGATATTGCTATATCTTTGGAGAAAGAGGTGTTGAGCAAAATTCTCAGGGTGCCTAAAGAGGGGACCCGGTCTGTGCTGGGCAAAACTTGGTCTTCTAAGTTTGCTTCTGTGATTTCTAAGACACCCACAACTAAGGTTGCTGGGATTTATAAGAAAATTATGAAGAGTGAGTATCAGCTGGTTTTTGAGTTCATCAACAAGGTGCTCCTTCCTCGCACAGAAATGAGGACAGTCGCAACTGCTGCTGATTTGTACGTGATGGAGATGCTGTGTAGCTTCAACGCCTTGAGCATCCCTGGTCTAATGCTTGAACATATTCACAAAACTGTCATTGAGAGGAAGGGTGCTCACGGAATGGGTTATGGATATTTTCTCACGGAAGTATTCAAGCATTTTCAAATCCCTCTCAGTGTTGGTAAAGTTGGGACTGTTAAGCAGACTATCTCTGAAATTACCTTAGTTGAGTGTGAATGCATTGAAGGAAGAGGTTATCAAAAGAGTAAGATGGCCCAACTTATTGATGATCAGGATCAGCTTAAGCACGAGGTTGAGGAGCTTACTGTGCGGTTAAGTTGTAAAGAGGCAGAGATTGCTATACTCAAAGCAGAATTGCTTACTGCACAAAGTGAGGGGCCTGGTTCTTCAGTGGTTCAAGCTCTGGAGAAAGAGAATGCTGAGTTGAAGGCGAAGATAACTGCCCTGCAGGAAAAGGCCATCAAAGACAATGATGCTGCCAATGCACGACTCACTCTTGTTATCCAGTCCCTGTCTCATCCTCCCCCCTCTTCCTAGTCTGTTGAACAACTCCCTTCCCTGTGTCAAATTTTTTTGTGTGTGGCTTATCACTGTGTTGATGGATATTCAGTTTGTTTTTAATGTATTTATGTTATGATGGGATGCTGGTTAATTCATTCTTTTGCTATTCTAATTATCTTTTCTTGTGCATGTTTTTTCCTTACTGATTGATTGCTTGTTAGCTTTGATCTTGTTCAGTGTTTATGTTGACATCACTGGTTTACTGCATTTCTTTTTTTGATGCCAAAAGGGGGAAGTAAAACTGTGTGTAGCTGAATAAATGTAGCTAAATGATAGTTCAGTGAGGGGGAATATACAGTGAGGGGGAATGTACAGTGAGGGGGAATATAAAATGGGGGAACAAAGTTGGAGAAGATCTTAGATCATTGTTTCAGTGTTTGTCATCATCAAAAAGGGGGAAAATGTTATTTGTAGTTTTGATGATTTGACAAACTTTGGGACCTTGTAAAGATATCAGATTTCTTACTTGAGTATTGCAGGTTTCTTACTTGAGTTGTGCAAATGAAACAAACCCAGGGACCTAGTAGAGGTACTAGGCTCTCATGATGACGAGTCAGTTGACTGCCAGCTGGAGATGGTACAGAAAGTAGGTGCACACTTTCCGATGGCGTCAGAAAGTGTGACTTTTTCAGCCAGTGGCAAAGAGGTTTAGGAAGTGACTTTTCCATATAAAAGGCACTTTCCTAAACATTTTCAGTTAGTTTTTGCAACTTGAGAGAAACCTCTTCAAGAACATTTGCAAAGGCTGCTAGAAAACAAAGGCAGAAGTATTCCAACAACAACAGCAATCTCTAGAGCTTTTCGTATAGTTGTTTAGGAATACATTATCTTGTTCGCAAACTGTAAAACCATTCCTGAATCTATAAAGGAATTGTTGTGTAGTGTTAAAAGTCTAGGTTGTCCAAGTGGGATAACTTAGTGAGTAGATAGTTTTCTACTTACGCTTGTTAAGCAAGAAGGACTATTGCTTAACTGTAAGATTGATAACTCTTTCTTACATTTGGTGTAATCGTGTTTTACTTTTGCTTTTGAAGATTAGTGAAAACGATTGAAAATCCTGTGAGACATGTTGTGGTTTTACTCCCTTAAGCAAGGAGGTTTCCACGTAAAATCATTGTGTTGATTTTACTGCATTTAACTCTCTGTTTTATTCATTAGTGTAGTAAGAGACCTGGTCCATTACTTGTTAAGTAAAGGCATATATTCTATCACAATTTACTCTCCAATAATTTGAAGAAACAACTAACCAGAAAGTTAAAACAATAGCCTGAATAGAATAATCTGGTGGAAAGACTATAACAATGTGCATTGTCCCTGAGCTTCTTCATTGCGCGAGATTCGAAAATAGAGCTTAAATTTTTTCATTTTCTCTGCTGAATCTCACTCGGCGACCTGTAAATATTATCTTATATTGAAGTTTGATTCCCTTTTGAATTTGTGATGGATCTAATCAGGCACATAGTCCTGCATCCGTATCAAATACACCATGTCATCAATACACTATGTGAGTACATATTCTAAATTTTACCAACCAATATAGAACAATATTAACCCCATCAATGGAAGGTTTAATGACATAATATGTTCACCATGAACTTGAGCATTCAGAAATAAAAAAATTAAATACTATTGCTCATTTGTTCTTATCAATGAGTTGGTCATTTTACTTCAAAGAATATGAAAGTATTGTCTTGTGCAGGAAATTATATTACTTTTCCTTCCTTTTAAATTATCCCAAAGTTAATCATATAAGTCACTAATATGTTCTCCTTGGATAGTTTTAAGACTTGTAGTAAAAAAACTTCCTCGAGTAACTTTTATGCATGCCATATTATAAATTTATAAAGCTAGATTAAATGGAACATGTGAATGAGATTTAGAGCTTAAAAGTTTTGAAAAATCAGCTTCATCGGTCCTTATCCACCAATGGAAATATTAAAATTCCTATATAAGAGATCAATTTATTTCAATAAATTTGAGCAAATTAAAATTAAAGATATTTTAAGCATAGTAGATTGCAACTTTCTAAAAAACATACTACACTAAATATGTACCTTGAAACTTAAGTTCATTTATCTCAACTGGCCGGTAGATAACATATATTACCGGTGAGACATTCTACAAATAGCTCCTGGGAAATTGGGATAGAAACCACTCCATCAATTATAATTATATTCGAAGTTAGTATAAGCATCTTCATAAGGTCCTTTTAGCCCCAAGTCACCAGTAAAACTCTTTCCTGAACACAACATAAAAGTATATTTAAGCAACTCACTCCAAACGGACAATATTTCACTTATATAATCAAACGATTAGGGTGCATATTCCACTACTTCAATAAATTTAATTGTTGGATAGTGATTTAAATTTCAACATTCAAATACTTGAGATTCAAATTTCATCAACCTAAGGAATCGAATCTAAAATCAATGTTTTACAATTCTATTTAGCCAAATGTAGAAATCCGAGAAAAAATGAAGCTCAAAAGAAAAACAAAGAGACAATAAAAATTACCTCATAGTGGCAGCAATACTCGGAGACAAGCATTAAAGTCATAACCTTTTCCTGATACACTATTTGGTCAAATCTACCATGTCATCTCGTAGATACACTACTTGGTCAAATCTACCAAACTTAGCAAATCATTAAAAACTTTAAGCTTTATTACCTCATTAAAAGCATTAAAGTCATAACCTTTTCCTGAACATTGTCTTCATCTTGAGAATGGATTAAGTTAATTGACAATGTCGAACCGTCAGCCACAACTTTGTTTTTCTCCTTGAATCTAGCTCTTGGGATCTCCATTCTGCTAGATAGAGTTACCGTCATGCTGACTTGTCCTAAGCCGTAAACCCATTCCGTAAGATGATCTTTCAACTGCCTCTCTCACTAGGCCTTTCGTTAGTGGATCTGACACATTATCGCTTGACTTTACGTAGTCAATTGTGATAATTTAACTAGTTGTCTTACGGTGTTATTTCTCCGTCGTATATGACGAGACTTTCTGTTTTACATAACGCTCCCTGCCCTACCTATTGCTGCTTGACTATCGCAATGTATGCAAATTGGTCCAACAGGTTTGGGCCAGAATGGAATATCCTCTAGGAAATTTCGAAGTCATTCCGCTTCTTCACCAGCCTTATCCAAAGCAATGAATTCAGATTCTATTGTGGAGCGAGCAATACAGGTTTGTTTGGAAGATTTCCAAGAGACAGTTCCTCCACCAAGTATGCATACATAGCCACTCGTGAATTTTACATCATTTGACCCGGTGATCCAATTTGCATCACTATATCCTTCAATCACATCAGGATATTTATTATAATGCAAAGCATAATGTTGTGTCCATTTTAGATAACTCAACACATGTTTCATAGCCATACAATGAGTTTGATTCGGATTACTAGTGTACCGACTCAGTTTACTAATAGCACATGCTATATCTGGTCGCGTGCAATTCATATACATCAAACTTCCCAACACTTTGACATTCCAATTGAGAGTCAATTTGACCCTTATTCTTTTTTAAATGTACAACTTAAATCAATTGCAGTTTTGACAACATTGTAATTCAAGTAATTGAACTTATCCAATACTTTTTCAATATAATGAGATTGAGATAATGCTAGTCCCTGGGGAGTTTTGACAATCCTGACCCCTAAGATCAAATCAGCAACTCCTAAGTCTTTCATATCAAAGTTGCTGGACAACATGCGCTTAGTAACATTTATATCGTCAATTTCTTTACTCATTATTAACATGTCATCAACATACAAACAAACAATGACTTCATGATTCATAATGTTTTTAATGTAAACACATTTATCACATTCGTTAATCTTGAATCCATTTGCCAACATTATTTGATCAAATTTAGCATGCCATTATTTGGGTGCTTGCTTGGGTCCATAAAGTGACTTCACAAGTCTGCACACTTTCTTTTCTTTACCAGGAACTATAAACCCTTCAGGTTGTTTCATGTAAATTTCTTCCTCTAACTCTCCATTTAAGAAGGTTGTCTTTACATCCATTTGGTGGATTTTAAGATCATGCACTGCTGCTCGTGCTATTAACATCCTAATTGATGTTATCCTTGTTACTGGAGAGTATGTGTCAAAGTAGTCCAGACCTTGTTTTTGTTTGTACCCTTTGACTACCAGTCTAGCCTTATATTTGTCAATAGTCTCATCAGGTTTCATTTTCCTTTTAAAGATTCACTTTGATCCTAAAGGTTTATTTCCTAGAGGAAGATCAGTCAATTCCCAAGTGTGATTGCTTAAAATTGATGCAATCTCACTGTTGACTGCTTCTTTCCAATAAGTTGACTCTGACGAAGACATAACTGCTTTAAATGTTTGAGGCTCATTTTCAAGCAATAGTGCTACAAAATCTGGTCCGAAAGAAACAAATTTTCATTGTCGAGTACTCCGCCTAGGTTCCTCACTAGTTAGAATATTTTCCATTGATTTTTCTCGTGGTCGTTTAGGTCTTTCACTTGTTGAATCACTTTTAGTTTTATACAGATAAATGTTTTCAAAAAACTCTGCATTATCTGAATCAATTATCGTATTAACATGAATCTCAGGATTATCAAATTTGTGAACCAAAAATCGACAGGCTTTACTATTCACAACATACCCAATAAAGACACAATCTATTGTTTTGGGTTCAATTTTAACCCTCTTCGATTAAGGAACCTCTACCTTGGCTAAACACCCCCACACTGTGAAATATTTCAAGTTGGGTTTTCTTCCTTTCCACAACTCATATGGAATTTATTGTGTTTTTCGATGGGGTACTCTATTGAGTATTTTATTAGCTGTAAGGATGACTTCCCCCAAAGATTTCGCGGTGAACCAGAATTGATCATTAAGGCATTCCTCATTTCCTTTAATGTTCTGTTCTTCTGTTCTGTCAAACCATTTGACTGTGGTGTATAAGGTGCAGTAGTTTGATGAATAATACCATATTCCAAACATATCTCTGCAAAAAGAGATTCATATTCTCCACCCCTATCACTCCGAATCATTTTTATCTTTAGATTCAATTTTTTTCCACTTCATTTTTGTATTGTTTAAATGCATCAATTACTTCATCCTTACTATTAAGCAAATATACATAACAAAATCGAGTGCTTTCATCAATAAAAGTTATAAAATACTTTTTTCCACCACGAGATGGTGTTGACTTCATATCGCATATATCTATCTGTGTGAATTAAGTTTAAAGTTTTAGAATTTCTTTCAATAGACTTATAAGGATGTTTAACAAACTTACTATCCACACAAATTTCACATTTCGAATTATCGCATTTAAAATCAGGCAATACATCTAGATTAACCAATTTTCACAAGGCTTTGGAATTTACATGTCCCAAACGGGCATGCCATAAATCATTTAACTCCAATAAGTAAACAGAAGTAGAATTTTTATTAATACTGTCAACAACCATTACATTTAGTTTGAAAAGACCCTCATTGAGGTAGCCCTTTCCTATGAACATTTCATTCTTAATTATTATAGCTTTATCACTAACTAGAACACACTTAAACCCGTTCTCAACGAGTAGTGCAGCAGAAACTAAATTCATCCTAATAGTAGGGATATGCAGAACATTGTTCAAAGTCAACACCTTGCAGGATGTCATTTTCAACATTACTTTCCCAGTTCCCGCAATCCTTGTTGTTGCTGTGTTTCCCATGAATAAATCTTCATTGTACTCAGCAGTAGTGTACGTTGCAAAGGCTTCTTTCGCAGAGCAAATATGTCTAGTGGCACCTGAGTCGAGAAACCACTCCTTGGGATTTCCAACTAAGTTACACTCCGATATCATTGCACACAAGTCATCTGCATCTTTCATCTTTTCCACAATGTTTGCTTGACTTTTGCCTTTGCCTTTGTTTTTGTCCTTTCTTGGAGCATGACAATCAGTATGACCATCCTTGCCATAATTATAGCAGTTGTCTTTGAATTTCTTCTTGGCCTGTTCTGACTTCTTCCCGTTGGACTTCTTTCTCTTTTTGTCTTTGGTAGGAGCTTCTTCAACAATATTAACTCCAATAATTGTTGAACTCTTACGCGACTTCTTTTCGACTTTTCTGTTATCTTCCTCAATCTTGAGCCGAATCACAAGATCTTCAAGCTTCATTTCTTTACGCTTGTGCTTTAGATAATTCTTGAAATCGTTCCACGAAGGAGGCAACTTCTTGATCATTGCAGTCACTTGAAAAGATTCATTTACTACCATATCTTCAGCAATCAGATCATGGAGAATAAGTTGAAGTTCCCGCACTTGTGATCCAACAGTTTTACTATCTACCATTTTATAGTCTAAAAAACTTTTTCAAGCATGCATCTTCTGTCTTATATTTCTTCTCAAGTGCACTCCACAACTCTTTTGAAGTTGTTATTGCACTATAGACATTATATAAGTCATCCTCTAAACCACTCAAACTGTAACCTTTACATAGGAAGTCTGACTGTTTCCATGCTTCAACAATCATGAGTATTTCCCTGTCTGGCATATCATCAGAAGGAACTGGAGTATCTTCACTTGTAAATTTCTGCAGACCAAGAGTGCTAAGCAAGAAAAATACTCGTTGCTGACATCCTTTGAAATTCACACCTGTGAATTTATCCGATTTCTCTGCTTGTGGTACAAGAGTTCGGGTTGGTGCAGCAACAGCCACTGTAACACCAGTGTTTGCCATATCTGATAAACAAAATTGATACAATATAAGTAAGCAATAAACTATAATTGCAGACTTAAAGGATCATAAAATCACAAGACTTTTGTCTCCACCAGAAACACAGATTTAATAATTTCTTTAAGATTGTTTGCCAATTTGTGTTATGAAAATCAGAAATTACTGGTTGTAATAAATTATTCTGAAACACGAAGTAACTGAGATTTTTAGAACCAGTAAGTAAGATGAACAAAAGTTTATTTGTAAAAACTTACCAGAATCTGGAATACTCTTTTTAAATTTTGGAAGAAAATCAAGTCCACTGAATTCACAGTGTCCCTTAAGGATATTATTCCCCTCTAGTATTCGAGGTTTGATTTGGAATATAACCTCCCAGTGTAAAATGATCTTAATCAGTAGAGTGTAGATACCAAAAACTCTACTGTCACTGAATCAATCCACATCAAGAAAGTACACGAAAAAATATGTGTTTAGAAGAAGAAGGAAGATCAGAAAATTCGTAGGGAAATATTCAGAAGACTGAATGGTATTTATAGGCAAGAAGAATATATTCTGAAAGCTTGCAAACTTTCAAATGGTATTCACTGTTCCTGAAAGTTGCAACCTTTCAGAACAGTCATGGCGGGAATTTTAAATATAACGAAAATTAAAACGGGTAACGCGCGCGGATTCGAGTCGGATCGGGTTAACTAAAAAGTTGAAAACATTTCGGTTAACTTCTGTTATCAACTAATTAATTGAAAATATTTTTTGGCCATTTAATTAACTAAATAAATAAAAAAAATTATCCAAAAAATAATCTCTCGATCGATCATTTGCCGAAGTCGTAGCCGAAGCGAGCGACGACGACGACGGTGCAAGGGGGGTCCCTCTTTCCAACTCTTTTAACAATTAATAGGAGTGTTTATTTATTTAAACTCTCCTATTTTCATTTCCATTACCGATGAGGGACAATTGCCTTTTTCATTAAAGCATTAGATGATTTTTCAAGTTCCCAACCTTTCAAGTTCTGAACTTTTCAAATTCCTCTCCTTCCCTATATTTTCCATAAATTCTTGATACATACCCAACAATAATATGGGTGTTGGTATCCATTTTCTGGACCAAAAATGGAGGGAGGTGATGGTAGATTTAGATAAGTAACACAAAGAAAAAGAAGAAAATGACTTTAGAATGAATTTGAATGAAATATTTGACCTCCATTGAAGGAATTTAAACTTGAAAAAAGATAGAGGGTGATGACTTTAAATGTGAAGAAGAAGAAGAGAAGATAAAATTTAAAATGTCTAAATTAAGTCTTTCACGCGTTATTGTTGAGTGTATCACACTCACTCTGATATGTCAGCAAAAAGTGTAAAAATGACACAACAGAACCCAACATGAGGTGTCTAAAATAAACAACCCTTAATTTACGTGTCTAAATGAAAATTGGTGCCAAGTTTAAGAGGTCTCTGATGGGTTTGACATATATATATATATATATATATAAGTTGATAACCTCCAAACTTACTAATTTCTTTTAAATTCCTCCTCTACAAATAGAGTCTTAAAGGAGAAGTATATGCTGCAAAACAGATTCATGTTTCAGAGATAGTTTTTGACACAAATCTAAAGAATAGGTATACATATGCTAACACAGGAGCAGCATAAATGTAAATTTAGTTCTATATTTAGCATATATTTTTGTTTTATTTGTCGTCCAGAGTTTTGTATATGTATTGATCACAATTCATTTTGTAATAGTTTCATCATATTTTTCCAACTTCTTACATACAGTGCTTTTCAAGGTTTATGTGAATATATTGAGTATAGTATTAAATATTTATATAATTATTCAATGAGTGTTCTTTAATCCTTCTAATAAATACAATAATTGTAATATTAGTTGAATAAATATTATCGTGTTAATTTAATAGTCGTCTTTTGACTTAAGAAAAGAAATGCATGTTTTATTATATTTTATTTTCTAACTTAGGTCGTAACTTTTTCGATGAGTTTTGACTTTTTTGATAAGTTGTGATTTTTCTCAAAACGTTGTGATTTTTCGATGAGTTCTGACTTTTCCAAAAAGTTGTGTCTTTTGCAAAGGGTTGTAACTATAAATAAAGGGGGTTTCTTTCATTTTTTAACCGCAATTTTTTTTAATCTTCTACCCTTCTTCTTCTTGCATTTTAAAATTTTTTGTATGATTTTTTGTTGTTGAGTGATTTTGAAGTTTAGCGGAATATGAGTTACCACATTCTGATGAAGTAAATTGATCTATCCTATGAGGATGAGAGTATATTCATTAACCTCGAGTACTTGACGAAAATAATTTTGATGTCATAATAATTATTTTTTGGCTTTTATATATATTAGTATGTAATGTTCCAATATATGAAGTTAACAATATTTAGTATAAATTTATTTTTTTTTTTAACAATTTCTCTTGTGATGTAGTATGCTTCTGGATATCTTTTCCAAAGGTTATTAAACTTCTCAAAAGTTAGAGAATTGTCACTTTTTTTTGGCATAATATATATATTAGACCCTAAACTTGACTTCAAATTTTAACTTTGACCTCCAACTTTCATAATGCACAAACAAACACTTTAACTATCCAACTTTTAAATAAATAAACATATGAGTCGTACATGACACCGCGTAGGACAAAAAATAACATGTAGGACATGTGTGTCTATTTGTTCAACTTTATACAAGTTTAAGTGTCTACTTGTGCACACCCAAAGTTGAAACGCATAAATGTGATTTGAAGTCAAGTTAAAAGACATTTTTATGTATTATGCCTTTTTTATACTCAAGACAAATTAAAAGAATGACTTTATTTATCATTGCTAGGTATGTGATTTGAATTATCAATATGTTTGCTTCAAAATAGTTATTACTATATAAACATTATCTTTTTATTTTACTAATTTAATATTTCTTAATATTTAAATATATTCAACAAAGAAAAGCTTATATGACTTGTAATAACGTCAGTTAAGTTTGTATTAGTTTAATTATTATTGTAGTGTAAGTTCATTTGTCCGTGCTTACAATTTCTTTTGTGATGTATATATATGTTTCTGAATATTTTTGTCTCAACATTATTAAACCTCTCAAGAGTTTGAGTATTGTCACAATTTATTCAAAAGAACAAATTTATTTGTCAAAGCTACTTATATGACTTAGATTGTCATGAAGTGTCCTTCAAAATAGTTATTACTAAACATTGCCCTTTTGTTTTACTGATTTACTATTTTTAATATTTTAGTATTTTTTATGAAAAAAAGTTCATATTATTTGTAATAAGGCTAGTGGAAGTTTGTATTAGTTTATTTTTGTTATAGTCTAAAATAATTTGTTTTTGTTAATAGTTTCTCTTCTAATTTAAATATATGTTTCTGAATATCTTTTTTCAAAATTATTAAACTTTTCGAGAGTTAGAAAATTATCATGTTTTTTTATGCTCAAAATAAAAGAGTGATTTTATTTATCAATGCTACTTATTCGATCATGGTTTCCATAAAGTTTTAGAAAATCGTTATTGCTATATAAACATTGTCATTTTGTTTTACTAATTTACTATTTCTTATTATTTCAGTATTTTTGGATGAAGGAAAGTTCATATTACTTCTAATAAGTTGAAGTTTGTATTAGTTTAATTTTTAGTATTTATTTAGTAACTAATTTTTATGAGATAGATATTTTCATTAATGCAAATGTGTGTGTTATATATACTTATTTAAATATATGGGTAGATATTTATATATGTCACAAAATATATTATTAAGTTAACAAGATGTTCTATCTTCAAAATATATTATTTTAAAATTTTCTGAGTTTTTCTCTAAAAATAGCTCACAACAAATGTTAAAATATGTGAATATATATGAATTTTTTTAAAATATATATATAATTAATAAAATAAATTTTATATTCTTCTTACACTAAATTAAAATCTAATAACTATTAAAAAAATATAATAACGTTAATCAAAATTTCTATTTATTTATGTAAGCATAACATTTATAAGAATTTTATGTATTGCAAATTAATTCTTTACTTTTAACATTATAGATTCTCTTAGTTATTACTATCATAATAAATATTATTCACTCTTTTACATTATTTAGTTATAATATTATGAATTCTCATAGTTATTAGTTATTATATTAATTATTTATATTTTTTCATCTTTACTTGTATTATCTTTTGATCAATAATTTTTTATTTTATTATACCGCGCCCTATATATGTGATAACACGGTAATGTTATTTTTTGTTGTATATAAACCATGCTTCGTAGAATTAATTGAAAATTGTTATTGTTGTGTGTAAGATAAACATGTGATAATGTATATACTTTCATATATAAAATAAATTTCTTTAATTTCAATTTTAGCTATTTCAGTAAAAAAATTAATTTTTTCTTTGCAATGTATGAACAGTCTGATAACTATTTTTGATATGTGTACAAAAAAAATTGAGAAGCCAAATATGAGAGCAAAAAAAAAATAACGTCGTCATCTACTATGTCATAACTTACAAAATAAAAATTAATATACAAAAATAGTCCTAAAAAAATATGTATTTGAACTCCACAAGTTCATCTAACATCTAAACGGATTAAGTGGAATACACATAGAAAACACACCTGGTTAGGAAACAAGAAAATACTGAGTAAATATCGTTTATAAGATACTACTAGTGAGATAGGATTAGTTACATGATTGAAACTCATCAAATTGAAATAAATATATACATTATTGCATTTTAAAAGAAATTTCTCAATGTGTGTGTGTGTGTGTGTGTGTGTGCGCGCGCGTGTGTGCGTGCGTGCGTGCGTGCGTGCGTGCGTGCGTGCGTGCGTGCGTGCGTGTGTGTGTGTGTGTGTGTGCGCGCGTGTGCGCGCGTGTGCGCGCGTGTGTGTGCGTGTGTGTGTGTGTGCGCGCGTGCGTGCGTGCGTGCGTGCCTAAGGAACATGTATTTTTTATATGTTCTTTTGCAAATTACAACAATT